CACAGTGCCTTAGGGAATGGAGCTCCCAGGATGCCCACTTGAGCTGGTTCTCCACAGCATCAAGCTCAGAATTTGGTAATCCCTGAGCTTCTTCTTGAGAAACTATCTCCTCTACCAGAACTTCCCGTTTTCGTCGACGGAGAGAAACCTGGAAAAAAATGAAGTTTGATTCAGGTGAGAAGAAATTTGGTAAGATTTAGAACTAAAAACACACAAGAGAAACCGTAACCACACACATACTGCAAGGGCCTGTATGACGAAGCATAGCTGGAGGGGAACAGTGGGGGGAGGGGCGGGGATAAATATAATTCTAATTTAGTTGAGCAGAATTAACTCAGCAGCTTTGCCTACTGCTATGCCAGTGCTTCTGACCTAGGAGAGTGACACGAGCGGACTCACCGGCTGTCCAGGATCATCGAGCTCACTCTCTAAATCCTCCAGCACTGTCACTGCCTCCTCTCCATTCTCTGGATGATGCTCTCGAACCCAAGTCTGCAATTCCTTGGGTAGGATGGCAACAAACTGCTCCAGCACTACCAGCTCCAAAATTTGTTCTTTTGTGTGTGTCTCTGGCCTGAGCCATAGACGGCAAAGTTCTCGAAGATGACTCACAGCTTCACGGGGCCCAGGTGAATCCTGGTATCCAAACTGCCTGAATCGCTGTCGGAAAACCTCTGGATCAGGAAGATGGTTCCAAGGGATGCTTGATCCCTCTTCACCATCAGGATCCTCCTCCAACTTCACTCTCAGAATTTTTTCCTCTTCATCTGGAGTTGGGATTATTAGTATTGAATCTTCTTCCACGGACTGTGCAGACATCCTGATTTATAATACTTCAAGAAAAGTCAATCAAGGCAGGATACAGGCCTCAGGGAAATACTCTGTTTTCTTCACAGGCACTCCTGAGGGACAAGAAATTAAAACAAACAAACATAAGTAACCAAATATCCTAAGAATTTGAACATATACTGATAAAGGAAGTAAAAGATACTTGTTTTTTTACCGGATTAAAAATTCCAATCAATAACCTACAGCAGAAGTTGGCAAACTACAGCTCACAGCCAAATCTGGCTTGCTGCCCATTTCTGTACAATGCTGTACTAAGAATAGTTTTCACTTTTACATGGTTGCAAAAAATCACAAGAATACTTCATGACATGTGAAAATGGTAAGAATTTAAAAATGTCTGTGTCCATAAATAATTTTATTTGTTCACGGTTCATGCTACAATGGCAGAGTTGAGTCATTTCAAAAGACACAATATGATCTGAAAAACCTAATATTTACTATCTGGCCCTTTAGAAAAAAAGCTGGCCAATATATGACCTACTAGGTCAACAAATCTTATTTCAATAATTAAAAGAGTCCAAATAAGAACCTGTCTAACTCAGTGTTTTCTAAATGCATTTGACCCTGGAACACATTATTTGCAACTCAGGACTGCTGGTCCTTGACCCACGTAGGTCTTAAAAGTAGGGACTGCTTTTCTGTTATCTGTTTAAAAATTTTTTAACAAAATGCTTTTTAGGAGTTATGTTTTTTAGGAGTTAAGAACGATCTTTTAAATGTTTAAGAACTCCCTGGACTTGGGGCACTTGGGTGGCTCAGTCGTTAAGCGTCTGCCTTTGGCTCAGGTCATGATCCCAGGGTCCTGGGATCCAGCCCCACATTGGGCTCTCTGCTCAGCAGGAAGCCTGCTTCTCCCTCTCCCACTCCTCCTGCTTGTGTTCCCTCTCTCCCACGGTCTCTCTCTGTGAAATAAATAAATAAAATCTTAAAAAAAAAAAA